CGCCTGGTCAGTAGCTGTAATCAGATCACTGATCCAGTATAATCGTTTTTTGATAGTAAGCAAACATATTGGTTTCAGGCACAGCTAATGAGGACAGAGCAACAGGAAGTCAAAGAATGTTTTTTTTAATTTACACCATAGCACAGATGAGTGAAATGAAATCTGCTCTGTGTTTGTGGATCAGCTCTGTCTTGTTTTATTGGCCAGTTCAATTTCCAGATGTAAACAAATCACAACGTGCAGCCAGTCTTTCACTGCGTCTCCTGGGAAACTTTTGTTTCAATATTGTATGAGCTAAAGCCAAATCACTGTTGGAATAATTAAACATCTGTTAGGCAACAAAACTACAGACGATATATTATGGAAGCAGCGTATCAGTAAAGAGGGAGTAGAGAAGAAGCACTGTGGGACTCCTCGGAGATCAGAGACAACTCACTCAGAGGAATCTAATTTGGCCATTACAAGAGAGTTTATGAAGCCTAATGATTTATTGCTTGAAAATACCAGAGTAACAACTGCAACCTGAGTGTCTCTGCCTGAGAATTTGAGTACTAAAAAGAACAAAAAAGATTCAGCTGATGTATAAAATGTAGGAGTGTAAGAAAATCTTGATAGACTGAAATGTTGCAATTCTTCATTTCCTGATGTATTGATTTTTATGAATGGATGGATGTTGTAAGAAGAAATGTGGAATACAGTTCTCACTGTGTGACAACTGGAACACTCTCCATTGGAAACTGTTCACACCCAAAACTCATGACCACACCCCCAACTGTTGTTCAGTGATCTTCTGATTTCATAAAAATAGTTTAAAAATCTTATTCGGCATGTATTACATGGTGTGCTCTTCTTTCAGCGCTTTTAAAAATTTGAATCTTTTGAAAAAAAATTACTGCGTTTTTAAAAATTTGAATCTTTTGAAAAAAAAATATTGCAATATATTGCTATAAATCATATAATGACCCCTGTGTTGTGACATGCATCATATCACCAAGTTCTTATCAGTGCACACTTCTAATAAAATGTTACAAATATGTCATTTAAATTTTAAATTCCTGTTGGAAAGAATGAACCAATATTTTAAAAGGACTTCAGAGGAAGAGTACACCACAATAAAAATTTAAGTTTTCTAACACCAAATGGCATGGCATATCAGTATATTCAGCTTTGATTAATATTATCTACATGCCTGGATAGCATAAAAATCTGAAAAATGACCAAACAAAATCGAAAGATTAGGGCTGGGAGATAAAACAATAAATATATACACATTCAGTATTGCAATAGACGTGATCAATATCAATACAAAATATGTCTAACAACAACTTTTTGAGTAACGTGCAAAATAGTAGTTTCCTGTTCTACCACCATACCTCATAACTCCTTCAAAATAAGAAAGAACGTGAAGTGAAAGGAGAAAAGGAGTGCAACAGCTCCAGAAGAAATTGTGGACAAAAGAGGAAAAGTCACATCACCAGCTTAGCATGCTTAATCAACCTTTTTTTCTGGTCCTTATTTCAAGTAGGTAAAACAAAAACTAACGTAATCAATAATTATCAGTAAACTAATAAACGCTTTTATTGTGATATATTTTCCAACCATATCGCACAGCCCTACCAAAGATACATTTTATCACTTCAGAGTAAACATATGAATAAACACATACTATGTCCTACAACATAGATGCTGTATTAATGAGTTTTTACTGAGAACCACATGCACGGGGTCTTGGGTCGCCTTTGGGATTTCATATATAACACGTCAACTGAACACATACTATTTACTGTAGAAATCAAAAGCCTTGAGCAGAAAACACAAGATGCATATCAGCAGAACATGCTTTTGTGTAATCATAAATTTTCCTATGTTGTGATGAGAACTGGCAGACCATTATTTTTGTGTGTGCAGTAAATGTGTACACGATGTAGTTTTGCCATCAAACGTGAGTCAACAGTTGGTGCAGATGCTAAAAAACAGCACACAAACCACTCAGAAACACGCCACAAATCAACAATTTAAAAAAGGCATCACTGCCACCTGTCTTAACAAAGAGCACATCTGCTCCACAGGGAGACCGGCACAGCTGAGGACACTTTAAGCAGGCTGGAGGGTGAACTTAGTGTATCTGAGTACAACAACACTGCTGTTATCATAGTACCGAATATAAATACCTGAGTCTGTCTTTTATTACTGATGCACTTGCTTGTTATCAAAGAGCAGTTTACATCGAGTCATAAAGCTATTATATTATATTATATTATATTATATTATATTATATTATATTATATTATATTATATTATATTATATTATATTATATTATATTATATTATATTATATTATGATTTACTTATCATTTTAGGGGCATTAGCCTTCCATGACAACCACAAACGTGTCTGATTTTAAAATGTGAATAATGAATGGGTTGTAAATCAGACATAATTTATTCATACTGCTCTCCTGTGAGTGACAACAAAGATGGGTTTTTGTAGGACTAACTGGGGAAATAAAAAATAAAACAAGTGTATTGTTATAAACAGGAAATCTTTGATGTTCTCCTCAAAGTTCTAAAACAGTTTGACAAGAATAGAAGTTTGTTAGAACGACTTGCAGCGTTTTCTCTTCATTCAGAATGAAGATGTTTTCAGAGTGTTAAAAGTTGCACATTGGTTTAAAATGCACACAAATGAGCTCATAGAAAATACCTTTTTAATAGCTGCCTGATCTTATATTAAAGATTATTTAATATAAGTGGTGACTACATGTCTTCAACGTGCGTTTTAGTGTTACAGCCTTGCTGCAGGACAAAGCTGGGACATTTCAAATTCCAAAAAGCATCATTCACCACAAAATGAAACCATGTTGGCTGACTGATTTTTGAAAAAAGCTGTGTTTTCTTTCTAAAAACTGTCATGTGAACCATTACTGACAGTGAAGATGAACTAATGGAGAATGTTTGAGCATTTGTCGTACAGACCATTAGAAATACTCAAAAATTTAAATCCTACATGAGAATATGCTTGTAATGACTTTGCGATGATGTCACCTTTTGTTTGTACACAGTCTTAGCTGCCATGTTGGAAGGTAGAGTCCAGAGGATATGGTTACATAACATTATCATCCCTTGTCTGCTAACTTTTAACGTCTCCATATTTTATTTATCTTTTGTGTTGCATCACTTTTTTCAGTTTTTAGACCATCAAACTCAACAGCTGAATAAGTAGACATCAAACCAAGACACTCCTCTGGTAATGTGCTCTACTGACGATTGACATTTCGTCAGCGGCTGCTGCCATTTTCTTCCCAAACTGCTGTGACCAGATATTGCAAGGCTGCTCGGTGCGTTTACTTTTTATTTCCTCCTGCTTCGTTATTTCTACGAATTTCAACAAATCGGGCTGCCGTCAGGTACTTAGCTACAGCCTCGTCTTCCAGTTTTTAATTTTTGTTGATGTGTTTTGAAGAGACAATGTTTTGAAAAGAGATTCAAAGTAAATCACTTGAGGTTTTCTAGTGACCCCTTAAAGAGATAAGCTACCATGAAGAACATTATTTTATCTGCCCTTGTTCCAAATTTGATAATGATTTGAAACGTCTAACTGTTTTTTTTAAATCCGGAACAACACTTGTTGCAAAGTGTTTTAATGCTCGTCTTCGTCACCTGACACATTTAACACGCTGCCATTGGTTGAGCAGCTTTGTTTACAAAACAGATGTCCACACGGTTTTTAAATTGTTTTAATTTCCTTACTTTCTAAGACACATTAAGTTGATTTGATGCTGCAGTTTGCCTTGTAATGTTATTTTATACCATTTCTGCTACTTTTGAATTGGCTATTATTAAGTTTTATTAGTTTTTTTAAGATACGAGATGCTTCCTACAAAACCAGAATGGGAATCTTTTCTTTTCCATGGCGATATCTTGAACACTGAGGAAGTTATGAGCAAAATTAGAAAACATTAAGGTGAAACGGTCACAAAGGCCCCATTGGTTCTGCTGTGAACAAGAAAAACATGAGCTGATTTCACCTAAAGAAACATCAATAACTTCCCTCATACTTCAGATCATCACATGATGTTGGCGTTATTTTGTAGGGTTTGAAATGTTCTTTTGGAATCTGTTGTCAGATTTAATATTGGTGTAGGATTAAAAAAATGTATCCACATCCCTAGATGATGTCAGTCCGAGCTGTCTATTCAGTGTTTCTGGGAACTTTCTTCCTGCATCTTTGTCTTTTTTTGAACAATGTTGGAAAACTGAAACAACAAACATGCCATTGTTTAATGTGTTTATTTGACATGTGATGTTTCACTGTAGCAGTAAAACTCAGGACAGACCTGAGTGTTTGTTTCTTTTTTATCTCATTTACATAGATAAACTTAAATCTATCAAACAGGTCAACAACTCCAGCTTGACACTTCCACTCAGAAAACATTTTGGAGTCATTTTGTGTCTGAGCAACGCAATTTGTGTGCATTTCATACTTTTTTTTTTTTTTTTTTGCCACGTTGTGTGCTCAACAACCAACAAAAACCTACAGAAGATGCTTCACTTGTTGAAAAAGTTAAGTTTGCAAAAATCTTGCAGCGATTACCTTTAAAAGTAAGCTTTCAGTGGAGCTGCAAACACCCCTGTAAATACACACTTTCAAAAAAGTATGAGAGCAAAGCTGTAGCAGCAGTCGGAGGTAAAAACCATGTGTATCATTACACTGGCGACACGAAGGAGATGTTATAAAGCGGCTCTGCTGCTAATCTCAGGGCTGGATTCACAGGCGCCAGCAGCGGAAGCGACGCTTTTCTCCGGCTTAACTACAGGTTGCTGAACCGCTCTGTGACCCAGGGAAAGGCGACAGAGTCCGCCGGACATGTCTCTCCTACTACAACATTCCCCTTCTGCCGCTTTTCCTCCACAGAGAGAGATAGAGACTGAGAGAGAAAGAAAAAAAAAACCTTCTGCCGCCCCACCGGGTCCAGAGCTAACTGTCCCCCCCGCACTCACCGGGTCCGGGTCGGGATGTTCACATGGAGGCGAGAAGCGGGCAGAGAGAGGCCGAAGGTATCCGAGAGGTTGAAACTTGTCCCGTTAGTGGAGACACGGCCACATTACTGTGAAGAAAACCCTCCTCAGACTCTGTGCGTGTCTGCAGGGTCTCCGACTCTCAACTCACTCCTGGGAGGGGGCGGGGCTTGGAGGGAGGAGGAAGCGAGAGGCGAGACTGCAACCACAGTGGGGGGAACCTGCAGGGGCGTACATAGAGGGGCCCCGGACTGCCAGGGCCCCCGCACACTGTGGAGCTGGTAAAATCAGCATACTTCAGTGGTTCCCAAACTTTTCAGCTTTTGACCCACAAAATAACAGTAGCAGAGACCTGTGCCCCCAACTATTTTTGGATGATAAACATTTGAATCAGGTCAACAAAACACGGGCATAGAAACAATATTTATTATACTACATTTATCCATTTTAAATATACTAACCTCACTCCTTTGTAACAACTAAGACAAAACTGTAATTAATTCAGAAGATCTTTTCAGAACCCCATCTTGATGTTTCAGGACCCCGCTTTGGGTCCCGACCCCAACTTTGGGAAACACTGGCTTACTTTATGCATTTGAGTTGCTGTCAGTCATTAAAGTGATCCAGTTCACTTGCAAACAGCCTGAGTTAAATGTGAGTATTTGAAGGGTCTGTGAAATTCATATCCTTCAAAAACAAAAATTAATTTGAAAAAATTTTTAAATAAAAAACAAAAATTTGCATAATACACATAATTTTACCCATTTATCACATAACTGGCATATTTTGAATTTGACCAAGCCAAAGTGAGCCTATTCTTAAAGCCTCTAAGAATAGGAACTCCGTTGTCTTTTTTTAATGGTATTATTTAAACTATGACTCTTCAAAAAGAAAAATAAGTAAGTCCTCTGGACAGGTCCTTCTTTAATGAAATGTTTCGTCTCTCCTCCGAGAAACTTCTTCAGCCTGCGGAGTTTCAGGTGAAGACGTCTCTCGGAGGAGAGACAAAATGTTTCATTAAAGAAGAACCTTTCCAGAGGACTTACTTATTTTTATTTTTTATTTTTCTACCTGGATTATTGAGATGCATCAGGACAACTGTGACTCTTAGTCATTTCTCTGATAGACACTCAAAATAATCTAAAGAAACATCAGATTCTTGTTATTTATTTTTATATTTGTTTGTTTGTATTTGATGACCTGGGTGAGTCATTCACCAACCAGATCTAAAGCAAGTGCACACCCAAAATGGATAGACTGAACAATATGTTATAGAGAAAATATATGAATTGTATTAAACTCTAATTAATTCTACATCTGTGAGCCTGATTTCACACTGAAAGGTAAATACTGACCTAGTTTTAACCTTGTGTTGTGTTTTTGAACACAATCCTGCTACCAGACCTTTCTTTTAAGAATGAAATAACTGATCGCCTGTTAACTCAGACCCCTGTTGTGCTCTTTAATTTTAAGCTTCTGTCATCTGTGTTTAAATGTTTGAACAACCTTGCTCCACTATATTTATCTGAGCTGCTTCAGCCTTTCTGCTCACCCCGATCCCTAAGATCAGCTGCTGCTGACAGTCCCCAAAACTAGGCTGAAGCTCAGAGGTGACAGATCATTTGCTGTCATTGCTCCCAAATTATGGAACAATTTACCCCTGAGTGTCAGACAGGCCTCCTCTCTTCCTGTTTTTAACTCTTTTTTCAAAAAACACACTTTTATTCTTTGGCTTTTAACACACTGTGATCTTGTCTAGGCATTGTAAAGCACACCTGATGTTTAGTTTAGTTTATTAAGGATCCTCATTTGTTATTACCTCAGCAAAAACTATTCTTCCTGGGGTCCACATAAAACATTATATTAACAATAACATCACAATGACATCACAATAAAATCGGTAATACAATCAGTTATAGAATTATTAGTGCATAAAAAAACAACCTGTGATGTGAACCTGGTAGGCGTATTTCTTTTATTATCTTAACTTATTTTTTTTGTCTTATTGTACAGCACTTTGGTTTTGGTTGGTAAAATGAGCTTCAGAAAAAAAATTGATTACAGCTAAATGTTATTTTTTTAATAATAATATCATTAGAACAAACAGCAGCAATGATAAGAACTACCTCAATCGAAAAAAATTATTTTAAATATCTGTTAAAAGATTATATTTTGAGAGTTTTTTTTTCTTCTTTTCCACAAATTCATATATATTTTTAGTCCTTTCAGTGGTTTCTAATGAGCGAGTGTCCCAGATTTGCTTTTGAGCTGTCCCACATTACATCGCGTTTTGACACAAGGAGCAATATATCTGCGTTCAGTCACGTCTTTCTTCTTCTCTTTACTGCTTGGATTGTCTTTTTTTATTTCTCTATCATGTCTTCACATCTTGTCTCATCTTTTTTTATTTTTGCTCAATCATCAAACAATCAAACATGGAAAAATTAGTCATACACTTTCAATTTAAATTACTTTTGAAGTGACATCTTTCAGGAAGGTAGTAATGATTCTTATTTGATTGTGTGTTTACACATACGTGCAGAGAGGTATTGCAAGTTGGCAAAACTTGACAGGTGCTTTATTTTTTTTTAAAGTGCATTCAAGTTTCATAGTCAACAGAGTGGAAACGTGTCCCACATTATCCCACAGGCACTTTTTGTCCCACGGTTAAAGTCTGAACACTCTGAAAATTGTTGCTCTGTCTGCAGGTTTGGATGAGATTCAACTTTCTGTTTCTCTGTCCTGATCATCAGTCATTTACTGACTCATTAAAAAGACAAAAACTCTTCTTCATGCAGCTTAATGAAGACTAAAGTGATCTCCATAAAAAGGTCACAAATCTGTATGGTTTTTAAGTGTTCACAAACTGGAGCCAAATTGACAAAAATGTTCCAAAACAGGGAAATAAAAGCTCTAACTGCACACTCTGAACCAAGAATCTGGGTCAGCACCAAGAATCGATGAAGCAAAGTAATTGTTCACACATATCCTCCTTTCTCCTCTTAACCCCAATCCTTGGTTCCTGCAGCAGGACAGGGTTTGCAGGTTAAAGACTTTACTTCTTAAATATTTCATGGGTTTGCACTTGTCCCACTTTTTCCTGGGAGCAGAAAAAGTTGGTTGTTTTGTGTTCACGTTGGCAAAAACAAACCTCGAACTGTGAATTTAAATCAGGTCATTTATCTTGAAACAATTGTTTGGAGAAGAATAAATCTTTTTTTCATGCTTTTTATTTTTTTTTTTTTAATTTCATTTTATTGTTTTTTTTAACCACAACTAGAATTACATGGTGAGACTAGCATCTTTGTGTATTACATGTGAGGTACATGTTACATGCAAGCCATTTAGTGACATTAACAAAGTTTTTAGTGTTCAGTTTTCTTTTTTTAAGGGCAGTTGATTATTTGTGTCACCTTTTCAATTGGCAGGTGAAGGAAAAAGAAAAGGAAAAAGAAAAG